CCTCTCCGAATTATGGTGATATTGTATATACAGTTAATCACCTCTGGGGCAAGAAAGGGAAAATCTTAGTTACTGGTATGGGTAATGGTACTTTCCTGTTCCAGATTCCTGATAGTGCAACTAGAGATTGGGTTCTAAATTCCAAGATTCCATGGCATGTAAGGCACAAGATCTTGATTCTACGAAAGTGGGACCCTAATGCAGTGCTCTCCAAGGCCAAACCTGCAAAGATGCCAATCTGGGTTAAGGTCTGGGGTGTGCCTTTGTCTCTTTATACGCCTAAAGGTCTGAGCTACATTGCTAGTGTAATTGGGCGACCTTTGTCTCTCGACAAGGCTACTGAGCAGCGTACTCGTGTTAATTTTGCCCAAATATGTGTTGAAGTAGATGTTGAAAAGATTCACACTCTTCCTGAGTCTGCACCTGTGAATCTTGATGGTAATTTGCAGGAGGAGGTCTCATTTGAATATCCTTGGCTCCCTGTCAAGTGTGAGACTTGTAAAAAGGAGGGTCATACTAGTCGGGACTGTGCAAAGGAGAGTCAAAGTGTGGTTGTACAGAAGCAAGAATGGCGCACAGTTTCCAAAGGAAAAAAGAAAGAGCAGGCTATAGTTGAGGAAGACAAAGGGCCAGCTCAAGAGAAGGATATTCAAATTGTGCAGGCAGTGGAACCCACGGTGCTTTCAAAGAGCCCAAGTCTCCCACTTGTTAATTCATTTGATGTGTTGGAAAAATCTTCTGAGCTTGCCCAAGTATCTGAACAACCTCAAGTAGATGTTGCGCCCATTCTTGAGCCAAGAAGAGTGAGAACAGCTTCCCAGGGAGTTGCTGTAGCAATAAAGGCACTAGTTCCCAAGCAAAGACAGCCTAGAAAAAGTTCAAATTCCTCTGGTGAGGTATCCTCTTCCCAACCTAAATGAAGATTCTAATTTGGAATGTGAGAGGCATTAATATGCCCCGTAAGCAGAGGAGTCTTAAGAGTTACTTATCTCAGTATAATGCAGATATTGTATGTTTGCTAGAAACTCATGTCCAACAGAAGAATTTCATTATGGTTTCTGGTTCTTTGTTGCCTGGATGGACTGCACTCAACAACTATGAGCATGCCAAATTAGGAAGAATTTGGGTATTTCATAGACCCCATATTCAAATGTCTATATCTAGTATGCATCATCAGGCCATTCATTGTCATGTATTCAACTCAACAACTGCTCAATATCTGTTCTTGAGTGTGATATATGCTGATCCTTATTCTGTTGATCTGAGGCAAGATTTATGGGGGGAGCTAGTAGCCATAAGTCAAGCTTTGCCTAATGTACCCTGGTTGGTTGGGGGAGATTTCAATGAAATCAGGGATTTGTGTGAGAGATCAGATTGGCAATCCATTTCTTGTCTTCCGAAGGAGTCAGAGGTTTTCAATAAGATGCTTAATGAAGTTGAAGTTCATGACTTGCCCACTGCTGGCTCATTCTTTACTTGGTCAAATAAGAGGAACTTAGACCCCATTGCAAAAAAGCTAGATCGTTTAATGGTAAATCAGTTCTGGTTCGATGTCTTCCCCAATACTACTGCAGAATTTCTACCACCAGGTTGCTCTGACCATTGTGCAGGATTAGTAGACATAAAAATCCCTGAGGAGACAAGAGATAGAAAGCCTTTTAAATTTTTTAATTTCTGGGCTAAGCATGAAAATTTCCTTGCTTTGGTAAAACAATCCTGGGAGACTAATTCAGTACATGGATGCTATATGTTTCAGCTATGCAAGAAACTGAAAGCTTTGAAATTAGTTCTTCGGAAGCTAAATAGAGAGCACTACAGTGATTTGCAGAATAGATTACAACAGGAGAAAAGCAAGCTACATATTATACAAGCAGATTTGTTGGCATCTCCTCATGATGCTTTAGTCAGTATTGAGCAGGAGCAAGCTCAAAAGGTGGCTGCTTTGCAACTGGCAGAGGAGTCCTATTTTAAGCAAAAATCAAGGATTCAATGGCTAAAAGAGGGTGATGGCAACACAACCTATTTCCATAAGGTGGTTAAGGCTAGAACTTGTAAAAACACAATAAAGGAGCTATATACACTTGACAACAAGAAACTCACCTCCCCATCTGATATGCAAGAAGAGGCTGTTGGTTTTTACAAGGGGCTACTAGGGACAGCTGACAGAAACTGTAGTCAGATTGAAACAGATTGTTTAAAAAGTTTGCTTCAATACCAGTTGCCTAATGATATGAAAAGTTCCCTCACACAACCTATTACAGCTAAAGAAATTAAGGATGTGGTTTTCAATAGCCCAACAAACAAAGCGCCTGGACCAGATGGCTTTACATCAGAATTCTACAAGGCTGCATGGCCTGTGGTTGGTGATTTAGTGATCAAGGCAATTCAGGAATTTTTCACATCAGGTAAGCTGTTGAGGGAAGTAAATTCTACTCTTATCTCCTTAATTCCCAAAGTAAGCAATCCTACCAAGATGACAGAGTTCAGGCCTATCTCTTGCTGCAACCTGGTTTATAAATTCATTACTAAAATTCTGGCTAATAGATTGAAAAAATGCCTGCCACATTTTATTAGTAAAAACCAGTGTGCTTTTATTGAAGGAAGATTGATGGTTGAGAATGTCCTTTTAGCACATGAGCTGGTGAAAAATTATCACAGGAATGGTTTTAGCCCCAGATGTGCACTCAAAATTGATCTTATGAAGGCATTTGATTCAGTCTGCTGGGATTTTGTTTTTCAAGTCTTCTTAGCTCTTGATTTTCCTATAAAATTTGTTGATTGGATAAGAGCCT